TGCTGACGCAGCTCCCCACCTGAACTACTACGCAGCAGGTCCTGGGGAGTCCCTACCTGGAAGGAAACACAGAATTGACTTTTTGCTGCTGACCTGTTAGCGCTTTGTTTTTGTTTCAGCGAGCGCCGTGCAGCTCGGGCAGCCTGTCGGTCTCTCTCGCCGAGGCTGGACAGGAGGACAGGGGTTCGGGTCTTCAGGGCTTTTGTGCGGCGCCGCCAGAGCAGACCGAGAGAGGTGTCGTGCTGTGGTGCTCCTGGGACATCTGTGAAAGAGACGGAGGGAGGGAGGGAGGAGAGAGACGGGGAGACAAAAGGCACAGGGCAGAGATGGAGGGAGAGAGGGATAGAGGTGAGAAACAAGGCAGAGAGAGATGGGATGGCCACACGCAGGTTGCTACATAACTGCACACCAGGGAGGACACCTCTGACCTCCACTGATAAAACACTTGCCCTTATACGGAGTCCCACCAGCCCCAGACCCCTGACCTGCAGTCCTGCTAGGCGCACAGCGCCCCTTTATGGTGAAACTGGGTCCCTGCAATCCAGTTTTGGGATAGTAGCTGGCTGGGCCAGGCAGCGGGAGTCCTGGGACAGAAGAGCAGGCTGGCTGCCCAGTAAAGTTCATTCTCCTTTAGTCCAGTACTGTGAACAGGCAGCATGCATGCAAACCACGAGTTCAGTCCAGCATTCTGCAGGAATAAGTACAGTTCAGTTCAGCCTAAGGCTGAAATCAAATGAATCACAAGCTTTTTGTTTTTAATTGGTTGGAACCCTGAAGCCCATGGCTCACAGGCAATCCCCATAAGAACCGGTCTGCAGTCTGATTCTGTCTTTTTCAGCCCCCTATTAAATCTGGCAGAGTTCCTCTCCAATGAATTCGATTCTCACCCAGGCTGCCGAGCGGAGTTTCTCCTTCACGCAGGATCTGGGATCCCACTGGGCTGCGCAGCACTGCAAGACACAGATAGAGTCATGCATAGACAGAGACAGACAGACACAGAGACAGAGAGAGACACAGACGGGGTCATACATAGACAGAGACAGATACACAGTCACAGACACAAAGGCACGGTAGATGGGATAACGGTCATGCAGACGCAGACGCAGACGCAGACGCAGACACTGACACTGACACTGGAGCACAGTCCCGACAGGAACAGAGCCAGGTTGCAGACAGACAGACACAGCTGTGTGCCTTTGCCACATGGCTGGACCTCAGCACTGCAGAGAGAGTATCGGAGAAGCGCTTGCTGTCACATGCGTTTCCACACACTCCCCCTCCAGGAAAATCGCTTTACAAACAGGTTTTGTTGTAGCTGTCACCTCTCCGCTGGGCTCTCGGCACGCTCTGTCTCTCCTCTTCCTCCTCCTCCCCCTGTCTTCCTTTTTCACTCCCTCCGTCATCTCCTGTCCTCTCTTCTGCTCCTGTCCATGCATGGCCATCTCCTGCCATCCCTCCTCCTCTCTCCCTCTCTCTCCCACTCCATTTGTGTATTTACAAAGTCTCTGGAGCTATTGATCCTAAAGGCATGAGGCTACTCTCCCTGCTCCTTCTGTCACAGTAAAGATTCCAGCCCCCTGTACCTGGCACAGATCCTATGACATCATCAGGTGACATGTCATGATGTCAATCCTAACGCATTTAATTATTTTGTATTAAAAGATGCTGTGCTGTGTTAAAAGATGCTTTGTGATTCTGTAGCTGTATCTGTAACACATATATGATATATAAAAGTTTTATTACAGTGTTGTCAAAGCAATTACAATAAGCATGACATTTATAAACATTCTCAACTTGGGGAAATCAAATTGGTTTCTTCTGGCCAGACTGTGGTCACTGAGCCTGTCCTCTCTGGACAGCCAGGTCTACCTGTGTCCAGTGTCTGTGTCCAGGCTGTGGTCACTGAGCCTGTCCTCCTGGACAGCCAGGTCTGCCTGTGTCCAGTTTCAATGCTGTGGTCACTTCTATGTTCTTTATGTATTTGATCGTGTCTCATGTCTCTCTTCGTTCTTTTACAACCTGGTCCGATAGTTGGACAGGGTGTATTGTATTTTTAGAGCCTGGTGGCATTCCAGTCGGTGAGGTAGTGTTGCAGAGCTTGTGCTGTGATTTGCTGGATTTTGATTTACGGGTCTTTTGCAGCGGAAATCCCATCCGCCTCTGTCCGCTCTCTCTGCCGTCTTGAGCCCGCCTACTTACACACGCTTCCCTGCCCGCCGAGTGAGAGGCGGGGTCACAGTCCCTGTGTCCAATCACAAGCGCCTGAAAGCCTCCTTCCTTCCCGCCCACCTAGGGGGCGTGGTGTAAAGCGAACGCCGCTAAGGTAACCCAACTCAGCGGAAGTGACGCCAGGGCTCGTGGGTCCCTGCAGTGTTTATAAATAGCGGCGGAAGCAGCGAGGTTGGCCTTTCGGGAAACACGTGTCGGAAAGGTGAAAGAAGCGGAGAAACTGACAGAAAAACAGGCGCTCCGAAGGACGCAGGCGATCTGGCGGCAAAGCCTGGAAGGTTTTGAAATATCGACTGGGGGCGGACTCATACCGAGTCGGAGACGGACAGACTGTGATTTCTATTTAGTGACCGGTGGACAGCAGCGCGCCCTCCGCTACGGTCCGGGCTAGGACAGTCCCAGCTGTTTCCATCAGTTGTGCTCATTACCTCCGCGGCCAGATGGCGGACTACCTCATCAGCGGGGGCACCGGGTACGTCCCGGAGGACGGGCTGACCGGACAGCAGCTCTTCAGCGGCGGCGACGGGCTGACCTACAAGTAGGGGATCCGCAGGGTGCCGGCCGGGTCTGCCGAAGGGGCGCTGCGTGCGCGCTCATTAGTTTGCACCTCGGCAGCGGGCGCCAGCGGTGCGCACGTCGGTATTGCTGTAGTGAGAGTCATAGGCAGGGGCGGGGGAGCAGGTTTCAGCCGGCGACAAAACAAGCCCGTGCTGCTACTGCTGCTGCTGCTGTTAGTCGTTGACTTTCTGTTGAAATGGCCGGTGCATTGAAGTAGGATTACCTGTCAGGCAGGTGTGTGTGTGTGGGAGGGGGCGGTCCCACGCCTTCTGGGTACCTCGCTCGGATGGCTGCAGGACGCGCTCTGCTGTAACGCGGGGGGCGAACCGGGTCGTCGCC